TTCTTAAATCGGCAAATAAAAATTGAATGTCTTTATGATGTACAACATGATGTTTTGAAATATATATGCATTGTAGATGGCTGAGATAAATAAACACATGCATTACCTCATACATTACCTTTCTTTGTGTTTGTGTAGAAAACACTACAATACATTGTTATTAACTGGGTTCATCATTTGATGTGTTATAGTCACATGGTATCTCTTGAACATACTCCTCCCAACTGAAATTTTGTATTCTGTTACAAACATCTTCCTAGTTCCCCTATCCCAAACCCTTGGTAGCCACAGTTCTATTCTTTGCTTCTATGAGTTTGACTTTTATTTTTTTTTTTAAGATGCTACATGTGGGTGAGATCATCTAATACTTGTCCTTCTGTGACTTATTTAATGCACCTCACTCAATGTAATGTCTTCCATATATATATATATATATATATATATATATATATATATATATATAGTGTGTGTGTGTGTGTTTGTGTATATATACACACAGACATAATACACACACCCACATATGTTTTTTAAATCCACTCACGTTGATGGACACTTGAGTTGATTCCATCTCTGGGCTACTGTGAATAGTGCTTCTGTGGCCATGGGTGGGCAGATGTCTCTTCAACATACAGATTTATTTCTTTTGGAATTATAGTCAGTAGTGGAATTGCTGAATCATAGGGTAGTTCTATTTTTAGTTTTCTCAGGAAAATCCATACTGTTTTCCACGATGGATGTACTAATGCACATTCCCATCAACAGTGTGCAAAGGTCTCCTTTTCTCCACATCTTTACCAAGGCTTGTTATCTTTCAATTTACCAGTTTCTTTGACATATATACTTTGGCTTATAAATTGATGTAAAATTGCCTTCACTCATAATGCAGTTATCTGAGCTAATAATTCTTTAGGAAAAAATGATTGTTTATTCTCTGCTTATCTATTACTTTATGCTCTAGATGGCTAGTCAGCCCCCTAAAATTATATGCAAAATTATGTGTTTGTCTGAATTATTCTAGGGAAAACGTTCATATCCTTATTTAAATTTTCCAAGGGAACTATAGTCCAAAGTATTGCTTCTGCATGGGGTTAAGATTCAGCCTTAGTGAGCATGATCAGATTTTACTTTTGACACTAAGTAAATCAGAAGTCTCCCAAATCTCTAACCCTCATTTTCCCATCTAAAATTTGGTTTATTTGGGTTGGGGATGTGGCTCAAGCGGTAGCGCGCTCGCCTGGCATGCGTGAGGCCCGGGTTCGATCCTCAGCACCACATAAAAACAAAGATGTTGTGTCTGCCAAATACTAAAAAATAAATATTAAAATTCTCTCTCTCTCTATCTCTCTCACTCTCTCTCTTTAAAAAAATAAAATTTGGTTTATTAATACTGGACTTAGGGAGCAAGGTATAAATGAGATGATATATTGGAAGTGTCTATCTTTGTGTCTGGCACACACAAGACATGTGATAGGAATCACTGTTATCCTTCGCTCTGCCTTCTCCAAGTGAGTCCTGGATGATCGTTATATCTGAATGCCTGCTCTGGATTGAAATGTGTCTCCTGCTGAATTCATATGTTGAGTCCTAGCATAAAATGTAACTGTATTTGTTAAGAAGGCTTTTAGGGGATAATTAAAGTTAAATGAATCATAAGAGTAGGAAACTATTCTGGTAGGGTTGGTGGTTTACCCAAAAGGGGAAGAGGGAGAGCTCTCCTCTGCAGGTGCACATAACAAGGAGGGGCCATGCAGGATTCAGCAAGAAGGAGGCTGTTTGCAAGTTAGGAAGAGAGCCCTCACCAGACCCTGGCCATACAGGCATTCTGATCTTGGACTCTTAGCTTCCACTTCTGTAAGAAAATTAATTTCTGTTTTTAAGTCACCCAGTCTATGGTATTTTGTTGTGGCAGCTCAAGCTGAAAAAAACAATGCCCAAGCCCATCTCTTCTAGAGCAGGAATGACAGGGGAGTCCCTACTCCATCCCTGGGGCTGAGGACAGTAGGGAACTGGTCTTTCTGCTATGAAGTTTGGGATTCATTGTGCCCAAAGTATAAGGGAGGCAGTCACCAAGATGTGGTTTTCTTCTTAATGATTGGCCTGGGCGCACATACCGAGGCTTCTGATTATTTTTTTCCCTTGACTGTTCTATTCCCCCTGTTGACTGGAGCCCTATCCTAGTTATCAGACTGCTGAAGAAGCATATGATTTAATGATTAGAGATGTGCACTCTAGAGCCACCCTGCCTGGATCAAAATCCCATTTCAGCTGCTGACTAGCTGTCTAACGTTGGGCAAGCTACCTAACCCTCTGTGCATTAATTTCCTCATGTATAAGATGGGGGTTCCTAATAGTCCCAGAGTTAAATATTGCTTGAGGATTAAATGACTTAATATATACACAGTGCTTAGAAGAGTGCTTGTCACATAGTAAACCCTCTATAAAGGTTAGTCATTATTATAATTATTTGACTTGGGCTGCATCTCTCACCTGCCTTTGGATGGCTTCCTCTGCTGATGGCCTGGTACTTATTTCCTATTAGAGCAGCTACCTGCTGGAGTCCTATTCCAAGGGCTTGATGTTAATTATCACCTCATCTGGAACCTCCAGTCTTTATAACCCACTACTTGAACCTTTTGGTAAAGATGTAGATTAATGCTGGCACAATACATTTATTTTATTTATTAATCTTTATGTGGTGCTGAGGATCGAACCCAGGGCCTTGCATGTGCTAGGCGAGCGCTCTACCGCTGAGCCACAACCTTAGTCCAGGGCAATTATATTTTTAATAAGTGCTGCCGGTAATTCTAATGAGTCTGTTTAGCTGACACATTTGAGAATTACTTGGCTACACAGTTTTTCAAGGTCTCCTTTAGCCTTTGCAATATAAATTCCAGAATGAATATAAGGCCTGGGGAATGTAAGGAGATAATTTAGGAAGATACTACTTCATTACAAAATTGCATAGGTGAATACATTCCTAGCAAAACCACAACCTATCATGAATATCTCAGGTTTAATCTAGATTACAATTTCAGTGGGGTGCTAGATCATGGTGGTTTACAGCACCCAAAGATCAACAGTGGCCAGCTCAGGAAACGGAATCTCATAGTGAGTTTTCATAGCTCCAATATGTGAATAGTGTGGGAAGGACTTCTGGAAGGGCACTCTCATTTAACTTACCATAGATAACCTCTGGGCAAAATGAACAACTGACAACTATGGCAGCGTTTGTTCACAAGGATGAGCTATCTGTGGTAACAAAGATCTTCTACGTGCTAACTAGCATTTCAGGATTAGCTGGAACAAGAAGAATCCTTGCAGGGGAGACTTCAATCTTGGAAATAAGTGCTAAGGAGATAAAGTGCCATCCTCGTGCATTCAGCCAAGACAGTCTGGGATTTGTTGAGAGAGCTAGCTAGTGAAGGAAGGCTGAAGGCCCTGCATGTTAAAAGGCTTCTCCTTTCTTTAAAAATATTTTTTTTAGATATTGATGAACCTTTATTTTATTCATTTATTTATATGCGGTGCTGAGAATCAAATCCAGTGCCTCACATGTGCTAGGCAAGTGCTCTGCCGCTGAGCCACAACCCCAGCCCAAAAGCCTTCTCCCTTTTGATGAGTGTTTAATTTGGCCTTTTAATGCGTATGAAGTGTAGGCATTTATTTTTTTTTTTGACAGAAGCAAGCCCAAAGAACCTTCTGTAATATGGAGCCACACGGTTAGGCAGAGACTCCATGTCTGTATTAAATAAGCATCAAGATGAAACACTAGTTTGACAAAGGTCTGTTATAATGAAAAGACACAAACCTCTTTCTTCTGAGCAGGACAGAGGGACATGAAGAAGCACACCATTTCCCCCCTGGCTTAAGGAACTCATCACTCTTTCCTGTAGGAGGACAAAGATGCTTTGGAGCAGGCAGGTGGGGATCTATCAGTGGGTCTTAGCATGTCTAGTGTTCCTGGCCTCCCTTCATATTCTCTTTCCTTCAACAATACTGGCTCTTTGCCACTGTATCAATTATCTCTAGCTGAGACAGTAATGATCTAGGATACCACTTTTTCAATATAATATTTTAACAAACTAGAATTAGGAAACTCTACAAAATTCAGGCACTTTGACATCGTGTGCATTAATATCCAGCTGCTCATAAATCAACCATATTCATCAAGCTTTTCCACCTCAAGCATATTAAGTGTCTGTCTTTAAAAATATAGCAAATACTCCTCCAGCCTCTACCCGCCCTGTCATCTGCCTAAGCTAGGGCATTTGGTGCACAAGGAGAAAGCAGCTCCCTACTCCTCTTGGAGAAGTGTGAGAGATGACAAAGTGGGCTAGACCTAACCTGAAATCACAATCAGTCACTTGGACACTTTTTTGAACTATCCATGCTGAATTTTCATTTCCTTGTTACAGGGTCCAATCTCTCCTTCCTGTCTCATCTCCTCCCACTTTCCCCTTGTAGTATTCTTTACACTCCAGATACATGGTCTTCCTGGTTCCTTCTAATGTTCTATGTCTCTTCTGCCCATGATCTTTGAAAGGGGCATCTCTTTATGGAGAACCACGTCTCTTTGCTGGCCCCTGCCCCACCCCCCTCCAGGCCCCTTCCATTAGTTCTTTGTTCCTTCATTTGTTTATTTATTTAAAAAAAATTTAAAATTATTGATAGACCTTTATTTATTTATATGTGGTGCTGAGAATTAAACCCAGTGCCTCACACATGCATTTGATTCTCAGCACTACATATAAATAAGCAAGTGCGCTACCGCTGAGCCCCAGCCCCAACCCCCTTTCATTTGTTTAATAACTATTGATTGAGAGGCAGTATATATGATCTGAGTATAACCAATTAACAAACCATCATAACATCTACATTCTAAAGGGGGGTGTGTGTAAGTAAACAACATAGTATGTTAGAAGAAGATAATTGATATGGAAAAGTAGATAAGGCTAAGGAATAAGAAAATTACTTGAAATTTTACTTATTTTAGAGATGAAGTCTTGCTGTGTTGCCCAGGCTAGCTCCTCCAAACTCCTGAACTTGAGTGAACACAGCCTCCTATGCAAATGTGCCTCTGAATCCAGGTCAGTGCTTTCAATTTTATTTTATTTTTTTGCAGTGTTGGGGATTGAATCCAGGGTTTTGTATAGGATGGGCAGGCACTCCACTACTGAGTTAAATCCTCAGCCCTTTTAAATTTTTTGTTTGTTTGTTTTGAGACAGGATTTCACAAAGCTGCCCAGGCTGGCCTAAAACTTGCAATTCTTCTGTCTCAGTTCTTCCAGTTTTCCAATTTTAAATAGGGTGTTAGAGAAGTCTTTATTGATATGATGCCATTTAAATTAATTCCCAATTGTCCTTAGAATTTAGCTCAAATCAATGTCCTCAGGGACCTCTTCTAAAGTTGGTCTATTTGTAGGTCCTAGAATATCTGACCAGGCCAGTCCCTGTTAGATACTCTCATAATTCCCAGGGCATTTCATTGATAGCTCTTGGCACCATTTGTAATGACATACTTGTGATATTTATTAAAGAATGTCTATCCTTTTTGATTACTTATCTTTCTTCAAAGATAGCTGAGGCCAAGTACTTAATACATATTTGTTGAATGAATGAATTTGTACAGTATGATCAAAAATATACATCCACGCTATATTAACAGAAACAAATGAGATGATGAATATCTAAGTCATTTTTATTAATTGCAAAGCTCTATGGACATGCTAGTCATGTCCTGTGAGATATGCTCTGTGGATAAGAGACACTGTTGTGCCAGTGTAGTTTTGTATTCATTGACATTGTATGGCCCTGCATCTTCTTTATGGAGGCATATGGTTTAGTGGATTATCAGACAGCCTCTGATGACTCTTGGGTCTTCCACTTACTCTGTAACCTTAGATGCCTCTAGTTCCTCAACTATAAAATGGGATGATAAACCAGTGCAGTGGCACAGACCTGTAATCCCATCTACTCTGGAGGATGAGGCAGGAAGTTCATGAATTTGAGGTCATCCTGGGTGACACAATGAAACCCACCTCAAAAACAAGTAAAATGGGATGATAATTGTATCAGCCTCAAAGAGATATTGTGAGGATTGAATGCATTTATATCTGAAAGGTCCTTAGGTGAAGGCCTGCACATAATAGGTACTCAATAAATATCATTATGATTACAGTTATTAATATTTGCACGTTTTTAACTGCAATCCAGGCATTTATTAACTAAAATCTTTCTTAGTTTCTTCCAAAAGAAGGAAAAGCTAGTAATTCTTAGGTCAGTTATGTTTTATTTTATTTTAACTTTTTTTTTAAGAGAGAGAGAGAGAGAGAGAGAGAGAGAGAGAGAGAGAGAGAGAGAATTCTAATATTTATTTTTTAGTTTTCGGCAGACACAACATCTTTGATTGTATGTGGTGCTGAGGATTGAACCCGGGCCACACGCATGCCAGGCGAGCATGCTACTGCTTGAGCCACATCCCCAGCCCTATGTTTTATTTTTTTTAAAGTAAGTCAAAAGACTAAGGATGACTCTCAAGCCTCCTCCTATAGGCCTCAGCATCTGTTCTAGTTTTTTGATGACTTTTATTTGATACTTGTGGTCCTTTTCCAATGGTTTTGGTATTTGTTGATGGCTGGTTCAAACACTGGTTCTTCCAGTTACTGATTGAAAGGTCTTTGGCAAGTTATTAGTTGCTTTGAGGTTCAAACCCCCATGGGGTTTGCCGTGAATATTGAGATAATGTCCATGAAGGGCCAACTCAGAGACCTCTGCAAATATTAGTTCTGCCTCCCTGGCTCAGGACCAAGTCTACATTTTAAATGGAACCTTCTTGAGAAACAATGACACTGGTGGTCTGTGTTGCAGTCTCTGACAAGCATTCTTAATCAGGAAACTAAGGTCAACATATCTGGAACATGTATGCCAAATACTATTGGCAGATCAGTACAAAAAGGGTAGTGTTCATTTGATACCCTATAATCTGTGGATATGGTTATTTAGAAAAAATTTTATTATCAAAAATGTATCAATTTACAAAGAACTAACTAAATAGAAATATCAAATGAAATATATCTTGTGGATTACAAAAACAACTTTACAAAATTACTTATTATTGATTAACATATTAGTTAGGAATATTTGATAGTATTAGATCATAAGTGCTAAGGATATTCTTCTTGAATGTTCATAGTTTCTGTTTTGATGATTACAATTAGGAATTGACTCATTGTGTGTTTGTGTGTATGTGTGATTGTGACTAAAACAAAAATAAGCCCCAAATAGTCTCTTTGCATGCACAAAGTTTTCAGACTCCTCCCCCACCTTTTTTTTTTTCTTTTCTGGGTGTTTTTCTAACCTTAGCTAATGATTTTTACCCACTGTTTACTTGCAAAATATGCTTTTCAATATGTCACAGTTAAACCCTTCAAATTATGTTCTACTTCAAAAATCTTGGTTTCAATTTCCAAATCTTCCCTTTCCTCATGTTTTAGATTTTTGATCAACAAATGTTTACTGAGGCCCTACTGTTGTAAATGGAAGGCTCCCAGAGCAGATTTTCTAATACCCTCGGTGTTCCAGATGTTGGATAAATTGGAAATCCATGAATCCCAAGTTAAAGGACAATTAAAATTATGTGTGAACATGAACCGGGTAACCAGAGGGCAATATGCTGTTCACCACTGGTAGCAACAGAACTGAGGGATTTATTTTCAACCTACTGGTTTAAAATGTGAAATCTAGATGTGAGGGGGCCTAGCCTACTTGTCCTTAGGGAATCTTCACTAGTTTCTGGTTTAAGTTCACCTGCCATTCTTCTTTACTTGATGTCCCAACCAATGTTTTTCATGATGTTTCATGGCCCCCAGAATAAAATTTGGCATTCAAGGCTCTTCATGGTAAGAATTCTATTTACCTTTCCATCTCTATTTCCTTTTGGTCCTCTGCTGGCTCCCAGTAGTTGAGCCAAAATCAACTTCTTGCTGCTCTTCCTCATTTGCTGAATATCTATTCTTGGCTAAGGGCTGTTTCATTAACTTTACAAATATTAAAACCCCTCCATTTTTCTGGGACATAGTCATTGTCATCTGCACTTTACAAGAAAGATACTGACTTTCAGAGATATCAAGTGACTTGTTCAAGTTCATGGGCTCATATGTGAAGAGTTGCTATTTAAGCCCAGGTCTATAACACCAAAGCCACAGTGGAAGGAGCTCCTCCTGTCATACTCTGATGCCTTTCTCCCCCAAACACCCCAGTGCAGTCTCATTCTGCACCTCTCTTCCATGTGGCAGCAGAATACTGACACTTTCCCCAAAGATGTCCATGCCACAGTCCCTGAAACCTATGAATATTCACCTTATATATGGCAAAGGGGAATTAAAGTTGCAGATAGAATTAACAAAGATCATCCTGGGTTATTCTGATACAGGCACAGGAGCCCTTAAAGGTGGAAGAGGGAGGCAGAGAAGGAAACTCACCCATAGATTCAGAGGGGGAGATGGGACAATGGAAAGAATGTCCACAGAGAAGTAATGCTGTGGAATCTGAAGGTGGAGAAAGGGTTCACAAGTCAAGGGGACTCTCTTGGGTGGCTTATAGACAATGGGAAAGGCAGAGAAGTGAATTCTTTTCTGGAGATTATAGAAAGGAAGGCAGCCCTGCCATCACCTTGATTTTTGAGCCCAGAGACATCCACATATACTTCTGACCTATGAAATGGTAAGATAATACATTTGTGTCTTTTTAGGCCAACAAGTTTTTGGCATTTTAGATTAGCAGCAATAGGAAATGGATACACCCCACAAGTAGAATTTCTTCTCTGCCCACTTCAGCTGTCCATGTGTTATGCCCCCGTTAAAATCCCCCATTGCCTCTGACCCCCCTGTTCACCAGTAAAGTAACAGTTGACCCTGATTAACCATCCTAGCCAGAGCTGACAGAAATGGTCTAAACCAATCCCCTCATCACAGAGAGGCTGAGTGACTTGTCTAGCCAGGATCACACAGATGGCAGGGATAGGGTCAGCATCCAAATCCAGAATACCTGACTTCTAACAGCTTCCTAGGAAGACTTCCCAGAGCTCCAGCATTTTTCAGGGAAATGTGACTTGATAGTTAGCTATTAATTGTCGAACATCTGAATTTTCACAACAGTGAGCAGGTTGCGGATTATTTTTGTGATTGGATTCTTGGAAGTCAGACTAAATAAATTTGTGGAAAAATCTGTGACTGAATGGAATTAACCTACCCACCACCATCTTCATTCATTCAACCAACAGCATGTGCCAGGTATGGTGCTAAATCCTGAGAATTAAAAAATAGTCTATTATATCTGTATCATACAGATATAATAAGTAGAAATTGCAGTGTCTGTGAGAAATGACATGATTAAGTGAAGAGACAATCACCAGGCAACCATTTGGCCGGGTCCAAGGCCTCTGAAGGAGGTAAGGCCTTGGCTGGGTTTTGAAGTGGGAGTAGGAGTTACATTGTGGAGGTGAAGGGAGCATTCCAGCCTGGAACAGCAGTAGGATTGGGCTGGTCAAAGCAGTTAAATAAGTCATGGAGGTTTGCTGTGCTCTGTTTCCTCTACCAAATCCCAAAGCCAGCTCTGAGAGTTGTCTAGTAATTCTGGGATGGCCTGGTTTCATTTGTGAATGGGCACCCGGCCCTAGATGGTGAGTGTGCAGCATGGGAGAGAAGAAGCAACCATTAGACACAGGAATGAATCTTGACTGCTCCTTCCCTGCTGTGTTGACTTAAGTACATTAGTTTTGAATTAGTTTCTCTGACATAGAAAAAGAAATTCCCCCTTTGCAAGAGTTAACATGAAGACTAGAGTCAATGCACACAGGGCAGTTGACATAGAGTGGTGTGTAGCTGGCAGCTGTTATGGTAAGACTTTGAGGGCTCAGGTTTTTAATCTGGCTTTATCTTATTTTACTGTGTTTATGGTTCAGATTTGAGGTGTCCCCCAAAAGCTCATCTGTGAGACAGTGCAAGAAGGTTCAGAGGAGAAATGATTGGTGGTAAGGGTCTTAACCCAATCAGTGAATGAATCGACTGATAAGGATTAACTGAGTGGT